GGTTTCTAATGTGTCGGTTGTTTAACCTAGCTTTAATAGTGAGATTTTTTTTTTTTTTTTTTTTTTTTTACACCAGTAGTGCTGCTTTTTGACAAATCATTATAGGTAAGGGAAAAGTACGGAGTTAAATGGTTTTAACTGACCTTAGTTGGAAGAGTATACTTTCCATCAGGTAGAGGAACACTCTGAACACCTCCACACGTGCCACATATGAAAGCTAGCTTAGTGCACAGAGGCTTAATGTTACTGACACGCACAACAGTACCACGCAAGGCAATATATTTTCCATAGCAGTTGGCCCGAACGTTTTTCAGCTGAGTTAGTGGATCATAGTTGTACACCCTATACAAAAGTTAAGCATTAACATTTTGAAAGCTTACCATATTTAAGTGCAGGACAAACAGCGCGCCCCCCCCCCCCCCCCCCCCCCAAATACAACCAAAAGAATCTCACACCCAACAACAAAAAACAAACAAATTACACACTAATTATTAACAATAATCCAGAGCAATGGTTAGAAACACTTTGTCTGTGGACCCATGTTATAGTCTTTGATTCCTGTTCTAGAAAGCAGTGTGACATTTAATGTTCCCCAAGGGTATATACATCAACAGCTGTACAGCTTGTTTATAGAGTGACACTTCCCTCCTGTAAACAACAGAAATTACTTTATAGTCATCTATAACCATCTCTTTAAATTATTTCAGATTAAGACCAGTGTTTAGACTTGAAACACAGAAGGATCAAAGATTTGTTATGCCTATGCTCCAAAAGGAAGGGTGAGTTTTCATGTTTCAAGGACATAAGAATCTGTCATCAGGAACAACACACTGCACCTTGTTAAGGACAACAAAGAATACATAGCCAAATCATTCAGAATAACAAACTTTAAACACAATCATTGATCATGGAATGGACCTGATGTGATTGTCTAATCAAACAGGGGCAGATAGAGCAGGTTGTCCAGGTACATATCTAGTTGTCTTGAATACGTTCAGGGATGGAGACTACACCACTTCTCTCACAGTAGAAGAGCATTTTCTTATGTTCACATGGAATTCTACGTTTTTAAATTTGTACCTACTGTCCCTGGTCCTGTAACTCAGCACCAATGAGAGGAGTCTGACTCCTGAAATCCAGGGTTTTCCCTGCTTCAAACCCTGAACAGCACCATTTCGTTTTCAACCCTGTCTACGCAGCAGAACCATTTCAGGAGCATATTTCACTGACTTACTGAATACCTTCCTCTACAGGAAAATGGTCCTTAACTCAGAATTTGAGAGCTTGTACATACCTTTTTTGGCCACAGGTTTTTCCTAAACACATTCTACTGTGTAATTAAAAGGGTTCAGTTTTATAACAATGCAAAACTTAAAAATATATCCTAGTGCTACAGGTCCCCAAACTAAATCCACCTGTCATGCCAAAATATGGGGCTATACCACACTAAGCCATCACCAGTTGGGAGTTAAAAAAAAAAAAAAAAAGTAATTTTAACTCAAATAGGGCATATACTTCCAGTCCCCCTCAGACTTCTGAAGTCAGTGACACCATTACTTCTAATAAAGGAAAAAAAAAATCATGTTAAGGGCATTAAACTGAAAGGAACTCACTAAACTCATTAAAACTCAAAGGAAATCACGTTTTATAACAGTAATTATGATTCTTGCAAGTACATACTTATTCAGAATTAGTGTAACCTCAGCTTCTTAATTTCAAATTAAAGTTTGATTAATTATAATTAATATTCTTGAGACTGTCTACCAGTAATCATTTAACAGATTTAAGCTAATACGAAAAAACATATCCTCATACACCACTGTGAAAACATCCACACAAGGAATAGTTAATACTACTGGCAGTAGTTTTTGTCTACAAAATCAGCCTCCTTACAAAGACAAGCCTTTTGCTAATAAAAACAATAATCACTTCCCAACTTCTTCAGTAAACAGCAGAAACTCAAATAGTGGTGGTTTTAATCAATACATGTTTCATAGAATAGTTGTTCTACTTTTAAGTTACTTCTCTACTTAGAAGCTTTTCTAGTTACAAGCTGTTTGTTCAACTTAGAAGCAGGTTTCATTTCACTTTTTTCTTCACAAAGGCAATTTAGCCTTTATCACGGTGAGGAAAAAAACAAATAGATCTTCCTGGAAAAAAACCCCAAATACTCAATGCCCATTACCTAGCATGAATGAGAGGCACATTTATTATAGGTTCTCCCTCAAGCGGTAATCCTTCCTGCACCTGCAGCTCTGCAGCGTGCCTTTCAAGGTCCTTTGTTAGCACCTAGACAGAAGAGAAAGGCAGCCACCAATGCAGCGTGTCATGCAACATGGATTCCATTTGCTACACAATTTGATTACCATCCCTTACAATCAGATCCCCCACCTAAAAAGCTCTCTGCTGTCCAGTGACCCCCCAACTAAACAGTGTTTTTCTGCTTTTGAGCAGTTTTAAGCTTCGCTTCAAATGGAATTTAAAATTATTTGTTGGGTTTGGGTTTTTTCATTAAAAAAAAAAAAAAGCAGACAACCATTTTTAATGCTGTGGTCAACCTGTGTTTTGTTTGACTACAGCACAAACATCTGAAAACTTGTCTGTCAACAAGCAGCGAAATGCTACTTGAAGAGACATTGAACAGAGCCAGAATTCCTGAATCTGCTCACCCACCAGTCGTGGTTCTGCTGCATGAGGTGGGACACACAGCACAGATATCTCACATTAAAAAAACAAAACAAAACAAACCAGGAATTAGAACTCCCAATGGGGAGTAACATAAGTGTTAGAACTACATTGAGTCTTAGTCAACTGTATGAATGATGAATAAGCAAAATGCACGAAGACCGAAGCATTTTTGAAACGTGATTTTGTGGGCCATACAGAAATGGTGGAGAGATGGAGGAGTGTGAGTTTTAAATAAACAGTAATTTCCTGTAAGAGACAAAACATAGAGGCAATGATGTTAAAACCCCCTAAATCTAATTCCCCGATTCTTTTTCATTATGAGGGTTACACTTCTCTGTATTAGAACATCATATTTACCTGATGAATTGCCAGACCCATACAGTGCAGTATCTTCTCAGGCATATCCCTTAACTCAGTAGATATATTTGGTATTGATTTAGTCAATTCTCTGTCTTGTATTAGTTCCTTATAATCCACGAGAATACTTCCTTTTCTTTCTATTTCATCCTGTGAAACATTTTGTTATAAAATACACTTCAAATTATCAACACAAGACATCCAAATCACATCATAAATGTTTCATTATGTTTGATGGAGAAAACACACAAAATTTGTAGTGTTATTGTATCAACAATAGGCTGTTGGAGTGCGATATGGTTTGTTTTGCTTTTACCTTATCATAAAGCTCAATGCGTTGCATGAAAAACTTTTCAAAGGCTTGGGTCTTCTGGACAAAAGGAGACCTGTCAGCATAAGCTAATTAAAAACATGCCTCATTAGTAACTGACAGAAATAATTATTTCCATTTAACAAAATACATAAACAGGCAATTTCTCTGCCACTCTTTTTCTGCATTCTAAAACTGAGGAAGATGATAGATCTCTACAGTATCACAATAATATTCTATTAAAGACTTACTACAAAACAGAACTTTGTCCAAGGTGACACAGGAAAAAACACATAGGATCAAGAAAAGTACAGCAGAGGTATGTACATTCAAGTCTTTGATAGACTACAGGTTTTGTGTGGCTAACTGAACGGGTTCAAGAAAGATCATGTTTTACAATATTCAAGATTCCTTTCCAAGGTTTGGAGCCCACTGAGACTACAGTGTGCCACAAGATTAAAATCTCTATTGTGCTCATGTTTTTATATAACAAATAAGAACTTCAGTTGTATTCTGTTGAACTTGTGCCCTCTACTTATATGCAATTCTAGAAAAAGTGGAATAAAATACTTGCTACATGTAATTTTGGTTTAAAAATACCTTCAGAGAAATAAAGCTTCCAGCCCTTATAGGGAATAAACTGGTCCAAGGTTGACTGGACTAGTCGAGGTCTTGCTACAAAAAAACCCAAAACAAACAAAAAATAAAATTAAAATGGGGATTAAAACAACATGGATAGTAAAACTTCACAAGTTTTATTCTCAGTGATTCCTTTGAGCACTGGGAGGCAAACGGCTGTATTTGCTTAGCGCAAAAGTAGTTCAAAAGAAAGGCTTTTTATTATGGCTTCGGAGAATAGGTGGTAGAAGCACAGGAATAAACTCACTGGGTTCGGGTATTCTTCTCCACTGTCCCTTCTGTCCTCTGCCTCGCCATCCTCCTCGCCACACGGGAAAGCTCCTTCCCCGGGCGCACCCCCTGCCTCTGAGATCCCTGCTCATCTCGCTCCGCAGGCACCCGCCGGGGGACGCGACGAAACAGAAATTTTACCACAAGATATTGAATTTAAATTAAGGTGACTTGCCGGGGGGCACTGAAGACCCTGAGGTACTTCCAAGGCCCTACTCACCCTCTCCCGACCCCAGGCGGGCAGAGAGGAACCCCGTGAAGCGGCCTCGCCGATGAGAGGGCGAAACAACAGCACCACTCACCAGAGATTTTACCCCACGCGATGCACCACCGCCGCCAACACCGCCGCCGCCAACACCCTAAACACCCTCAACACCGCCAACACCGCCAACACCACCACCGCCGCCACCAACGCCTCCACCAACTCCGCCATCGTCGCCTCCCCCTGAGGAGAAGGTAACCGTCGTCCCCTCAGTGTTCTATTTTGGCGCCAAACGCCCCTTCCAGCGCCGCAGCCAATCCTGAGGGCCTATGTGGCGCCGCCGCGCACCAGGGGGCGGGGCCCGCGTGCCCTCATTGGCCTGCCCTTTCCCTTCCCGGTCCCGCCCACTCGGGGCTGGCCGAGCCTCATTGCGCAGGCGCTTCCCCACTCCGCCTTGTCGCTGGCCGGCCAAGGGAGCGCAGGCGCAGTCCCCGACCCCCCTGTTTCCCCCCACCTCCCCCCCCACGCGACGGCGGTGCGCACGGCGATGGCGGGCGGGCTCGGCTCGGGCCCGCGCATTCGTGAGGGGGATTGCGCTGTCCTGAAGCGGGATGATGTTTTCAAAGCGGTTCCCGTGCTACGGCGGAGGTGAGGGGCGGCCCGGGGCTTTCGATCCTGCTTGTCACCTCCCCCCGCCTCGGGCGAGGTTGGCGTTTAGTCCTTTCCCAACCCCCCCCCAACCCGTGAGGGGGCTCTAACTTGCGGCGCGCGGCCCCGCCTGAGGGAAGGGGGGTCCCTCCCGGTGCGACCTCCCTAGTTTTCCTGCTGTGAATCAGAACATCCGGCCTCGCTAAGCCGGTGGGTGACAGGCAGCATGGAGGATGTTAGTGCTGTGTTCCCGTGACAAAAAAAAAAAAAAAACAAAAAAAACCCAAACAAACAAACAAAAAATACCCAGACAAATTCCTGGCTGCTTTTTTTTTTTGCAAAAATTTGAAAGATACTTAGGATGGTTTTGTGTTACTATAGTCAAACCGGTGTCGATGGAAGAGCAGAGGCGCAGCAGCATCAAGCGCGTGCCTTCATCATACTTACCTCGCTGTGGCGTATAATTTCTGCGACATGCAGCCTTGTTTTGTTACATAGGGACTGGCTTGAGTGTTTTCGTCGCTGTCAGACTGTAGGAAGATGCTAGCTATCAGCGCTGGATAGCTCCTGCTCGGGAGAGGATGCTATGAAAGGTCTCCTATTTCTTTTTCCTAGGCTAACTGGCATAGCAAGAACTGCCTGCACCCCTGCAGGAAATACTGTAATCAGTGGACACAGCCTGGGCTCTTCCCATTGCAGCAGACAATTTTATAGACCAATGTGTAGAAGTCAGTATTGGGTAATGTGGCCAGACATCTGATTCAGTAGCGTGGAGATTTAAAGGTACTATGCTTGAATGAGACTGGTTGAAAAATGGCACAGCTCAGACCTAGGATTTGGGGAGTGCTTGGCTATTGGCAGGACTAATGTTCACCCGTAGAACCTGGCACCAAAATCAGATCGTTACTCTGTTAGCCTGCAGAGCACTGCCAAGATGTGTTCATTAGGTCCATCTTCGGTTTTGGTTTAAAACCTCTACTATAAAAGAAAAAAATAAAAAAGTCGAGTAAAAATTCACACAGGAAACTCAGTAACTTTTGCATTTAGTTTTTCTGTAATCTGATGAGAACAAGAACATGTGACAATAGCTGTGGTTGGATATTCTGTTTAGAATGGCCATCAAAATGAAATTTGAGCACAAGCACACAATATCTAGCTAAATTCGTTTCAGTCATATCAATGCTTTTATAGTCATTTATTAGTCTTTTAAAATCTGTGTTGGCAGGGATTAATAGACTTTATGTGAGTGACTATAATGTCATTAAATTTTTATTATGAGGATGTAATGGCTGTGACAAAACTTTATTCTTATGCTTTGTTTAAATTCTGGATTGCATTTGGGGATACAAGTAATGCCATGTGTAAAACATACATGAATTGCACACTTAAGTCAGTAGAAAACTGGAAATAGCTTTTTTGCTTAGCTTCAGAATTAGTAGTGAGTATAATCAGCGTAATGACAGCTCATATTGGTAACTTTTGATTCTAATATGAGTGTGGCATCTACACTGGTACCTGTTTGACTTGACAAGATCGGCATTTCTCTGGTCAGCAAGGAAACCTTTGTAGGTCATCCTGAAAGTTAAAGGCTTTGTGGATCCTCTTTTGTGTGAAGAAAGAAAAATACAAACCTCCCTTAGTGCAATCAAAATGAAAGGAATAATAAAATCCTTTTATTTTTTTTTTCTTGTATTAAACATTTCTAGAATTATAAGACACTCTCTGCTGTCTGTTTTCTTTGTAGTCTTTTGGCAAATGTTATTTCAAAGGAGCTCTGCAAAATACAGGTTCATGCTCATCTATTTGCACTAATCTGCGTGACCCTGCCTAGATTTAATATACTTTAGATTAATTTAATTCCTTGCCTTGTTCTGACTATAGCTGCCAAAAACGGTACTGTATAATTCAAGTGCTATGGTCTTATTTTATCTGCCATTTTAGAATTCTTTTGAACGGAAAAAAAAAAAAATTCTTACTGTATGCTCTATTTAAGTTCTTTGTTCTTTTCCTAACCGGTTTCAGTTTAATGTGGATTTGTGGTTAATTTGACTTTTTGTGCTTGTGCTGGTTTTCTACAAGGATATAGATAAAAATGGCATATATGAAGCTACAGTTTAGTTTCAACCATTGTGGGTTTCAGACATAGTAAAAACAATGCTTTTAATATCATTAACTTTCTTATTTCAGAAAAATAATTTTTGAGAAGCAGTGGTTCTATCTGGATAATGCCATTGGACATATTTATGGAACTACATTTGAAGTAACCAGTGGTGGAAACCTTCAGCCAAAGCAAGAGTTGGAAGAGACTACCACAGGTAGTGCAGAGGATTGGCTGGTATTTGGAAAAATGAGTTCCAATTAATTTGTTTCTTTGATAAGACCACAGATGATGGAAAACCTTTCTATTAATCATTTGTTAACATTACTTATATTCTTTCTGTCATAAAAGTGCATGGTTTTGTCTTGATCTGCTGTTTCACTAGTCGTGTAACAATAAGCTTTTTAACAGGGGAGAAAATCTGAACCTTAGTTTGGGTGAATATCTATATGCTAAGGTGTATTTTATGTATCATTTCATTGATTGCCTAGGCAATACTTTGCAAGGCCATGAAGCATGTGGGTTTAATCCTGAGAAGTCTGCTTTCTGTGAAATTAAAATCATATGTTTCTCCAACTTCAAGATATTTAGAGTTAGATTTTACAAATATATATTCTTTTCCTTTAGAAACAAAAGAAGCAGGTACAGATAATCGTAACATAGTTGACGATGGAAAGTCTCAAAAACTGACTCATGATGACATAAAGGCTTTGAAGGACAAGGGTATTAAAGGACAGGTAAAAATAAGGTTTTGGTGTCATTTCTGTGCTACCTTGATGGTTACATTTTAGTTTATGAAATAGGCTATTCTTTTTATCGGTACATAGACTTCAGTGCTTTTTTTTCTTTGTTCTTCTGCTCAAGTCATGTGTTTCCTAAAGGTCTGTTTTTACAAAAATGCAAAAGCTATTTTCAGAGAGAACTTCCTTTAGGGCTGGCAACTTTGTCAACAGAGAGTAAAGTATGAATTTTATCGGCATCAGAAGTCAGACAAAAAGAAATACTAAAACTGTTAAGGAATACAGCTTATATAATCACCTTTTAGTTTTCTTTGTTTATAAGATTCAAAATACCGTTTATATGTTACAAACCTATTAAAATTGTGTAATAATTAAACTACGGAAGGTGTAGGAAAGGATTATGGATAAATGCCAAAGTATTAGTAAGTAACACTGTGTAACAAATGTACTCTCAGTGTGCCGTGGGCAGTACCTACTAGACACGTGATGCCTGTGTTTTATCTGCACCTCAAGAGATCAGTTCTGTTAGAAAAGGGATTGGTTTTTACCCTGCGCTTTGTCAAAAAGTGAGGCCATCTTAAATGTTAATAAACCATCGCAGCCAGTTCTGTTCTGCACATATTATCAGGCAAAATCCTCTCTCATCTTTGGTTTACCCTTTCTAATAAAAAGAAGAAATTGTTCATGCTTTCATCTCTTTGCATCTTGCTGTTTGCTGCTGCTCTTCAGAGCAGCCGTTCTGCTTTTTCCTGCATTTAATAATGGACGGGTCCAAGGAGTTTAGAATGGTATTTCTTCTGTTTGCGTAGCTGTGCTGCCTGTTGTGTTACCTCTCTGAGAAGAATGTACTAATCCATCTGATAGCTTTGATGTTTTCTATACGTTCTCATTATCCGTGGCAGATGATCACTCTGGCTTTTCTGTATGTCCTCAGCATGTCCGTGCCATACCTCTACGGTACTTTTATTTGAAGTTATTAAAATATCCTATTTTAATAGGATATTTTATTCAGAGTTTGTTAACTCTGGTTTCTGAACTGTAGCTGAATATTCATTTTAAACTGTTATATTAGCAGCAAGAGATACTATTCTTCCATAAATGTCTGGTAAAATCTGAACTCATGTTTGTGAACGACATGTCTTTGTGATGCAGGCTTAGTTTGGAGATGATTTGTTATTTGCAATAAAACAACCTTAGTGTTAATGGGGTTTGATTTCCCTTCACTTCCCAAATCCTTCCCAACTCCTGAGGGATAAGTGTTGGGATGAAGACATGAAGTGGCACATACTCCCAGGGCATTGCCTAGTGCTGCAGCTTCCTTTTGGCTTTTGTTTACCCTAGAGAAATATTCCCCAGTTTCCTCACTGTAAATTATACTGGAATAAATAATTAAACAACAACAACATATGTTGTTGAAACAATAATTAAACAAACAACAACAACAACAAAAAAAAACAACCCACAAAAAACCCCAAACAAACAACAAAACAACCCAGATACGGCATTTAACTTTTTCCAGGAGTAAGGCAAAAAAAGAAAGATGCGCTGTTTCACACTGTTAATAATACATTTTAAGTGTTTGAAGGACTTCAAGAAATAATGGCCTGAAAAGCAGCGATAGCAAGTGAGAAGTGCTGTATTTTGGAGCAGGTTCTTAAAGCACAATGGGAGATGCAGTGTCCACATTGAAAATACTTTTTTTTTTTTTTGTCATTTCTTGCCCCAAACTCCTGTGAAGCCAGGTTATACGACTGGTCTTCCTGCATGTTTAATAGAAACTTACAGTTTTAGCAGTTAAACTGCTCTGTTTGCAACCACCAAAATCGCACTCTGCAGCATTTGTTCTTGTATTGCAGGTATGGAGACAAACCCTGAGCAATGCAAGAATATTTTTGTTGGAGGTCTTAATGGTCAGCTGGAACCTGACAATATGGGGAAGAGCTGGATTGGCAAAGGGAGGAGATTAGAACAAGGAGACCAGGAAGTAAAAACTGGAATTCTGGGAAAACCTGGGAGCTAGAGAAGGAAGAAGTCAGGGGAAATAGTAAATGCTAAGGAGTTTGCCATTGTGCAAGGAGGTGGTACAGGAGTCTAGCACAATTTAGGAGGCAAACGAAATTAACTGGGTACGGGTGATGTCTGATAAATAGCCAGAGTGTATGGGAAGAACTAGCACGAGATGGAAAAAAGACACCCTCAGAGATAGCAAAGCTAAAGTCAGACAAGAGACCCGAAGAGGAAAGCGGCAGTTGGATTAAAGTGAATATAACAGGTGCCATCAGGTTCCTTGGTTTGTTTTTGTAAAATATTTTTGCCCGTAGAGCCTCACACAAGACTTGGGGTACCGTCGTGCAATCCAGTTACTATGGGGAATGTTAGACTGACAGAGTCAGTCAGTTGTTCCATAGTAACTGACAATAAACATGACTGCCTCATTCTAAATACAGGATAATTACAAGTAGCTAATCACTTAAAAAGCAGGGTTGTCTCATTCACATTCAGCATAGGAGAAGGATATTTTCGGTGCTGAGGCTTCACAGCAAGGGCTGAAGTAATGACTTGCTGCTGCTGAAAGGAACAATCCTGCTTTTTCTTCATTTCTGGCCGTACGGGTCTGCCCTCTTAGGAGTTCTGGCACCTACCTGACTCCTTCCTCACAAAATACCCCATTTCCAGGATAAGCATTTTCAATTTTATATTTTTTTGCTGGCATTATGTAGTTAAAAACACTTAGAGACAGAAGTATATGATTAAATTCCTGCACATAGTCAGCGTAGTGCCTCGCTTTTCATGTTGATTAGTAGAAATTTACTTTGCCATTAATGTCAGTAGAAGTTAATGACAGATTGCCTCTACTGGAAGGAAGTATTTTCAGTGTGTTTAAAAAAATACTTTATATGAAATGAATGAGAAATAAATACCAGCTATAATAAAAATAATTTGTCTTTTCCAAGGAAATAGTTCAACAGTTAATAGAGAACAGTACAACATTCAGAGACAAAACAGAATTTGCTCAAGATAAATACATAAAGAAGAAGAAAAAGAAGTAAGTGAATTTTAAAATGTGGAAAACACTTTGTAGTTCTCTAATTTGTTGAGCTTGAAATAAGACTATTCCTATGTGTTTCTTACAGATATGAGGCAGTTATTACAATTGTGAGACCGTCCACTCGCATTCTTTCAACAATGTATTATGCAAGGGAACCTGGAAAAATCAAGTAAGATTTCATTCTGCCTTTTTTTTTTTTTTTTAATAACAGAAAGATATTTTCTTTTTTTTTTTTTTTAATACCTGTATTATACCAGAATATATAATACATTTATTCTGGTCTTCCTGTTAGTGGAACGATTGCAAATTAATGAAACATAATGCAATACAGAAAATTCATCGGTATGGTATTGCAGGAAAGAGGAAAACTCTTTTTACATGCAGCATCAGCTTTTACCATTTCCCTGCCACCACCATCTTGCTAATTACCTAGGTAGACTGAGGCTCTGCATTTTCAGAGGTATCTCTTACCTGGTTTTGGTCAGGGGCCTGTCGTCCCTGCTTTCTGGCTCAGTAATCAAAATAACAAGCCACCTACCAAAAGCAGGATTTTTTTTGTCTTTAATGGGTTAGGAATTCAAAATCATATTCAGTCAGAAGTCTCTAGGATTTACAGACATGTGGTGAACATTGAGGGGTGGGGGCAATGATGACAGAGATCTAGCCACATCTGATTTTTTCTTCTCCTTCCCCCATCTCCTTCCCTTGGCTTTATTTATCTGTTAGGATTAGTTGTCATTTCCTTGGCCGTCAGGGAGTCTCTTCAGTGCAGGTGCTGCTGTCAGTAGAGTTGGGGTTTGATCCTGGATTGCAGGTGGTGCCTGCAACTGCGAAACAGATGAAAATCACTCAGGGTACATTACTGGATTAGGAAATGCATACAAATACCATTTATTCTTTACAAAACTCACATGTCAGAGTAAACAAACAAACAAAAAGATAAGTTTAAAAATTACTTTGACTGGCTTGGCATGGGATGTGTGCTTTATTATGTGCACCCTACTTCATATCCTACTTTTGCTATTTTCTTTGTAAACCTAAATACGTGTTCCCTGCTTGTTGGCTTTGGTTCTAGTCCTTCTTTATTACCAGATGGTTAATTACAAGTTTCCCCATGGTGACTCTGAAGACCACTGATGCTGTTCCTGAAAATCTACCAGTAATCCAACTTTTTTTGGCAGGCTCCTCAGCTGATACGCAGCATGTCTAACTCCAAGAAAACTAATTTGGTATTTCTTAAAACCTTCTGTCTTCTAGCCACTTGCGATATGACACCCTAGCTCAGATGTTGACTTTAGGAAACATCCGTGCTGGCAACAAGATGATTGTAATGGAAACATGTGCAGGCCTTGTGCTGGGCGCGGTGATGGAGCGAATGGGAGGTCAGTAACAACACAGTAGCTTTAGTAATGTACAGACTGAGGGCTTCCTTGAGACTTAAGAAGTAGGCATTGTTGTGATACTTTTAAAAGGCAGTACTTCAAAATACTGTCTCAGTTTTTAAAATCTACTTTTGATGTCTCCAGTATTCAGAGAGATACTTGGTTTTCCACTGGAGAAAGTTGCATTTTGCATATTTCAGTTGGATTTATTTTTTGCTATTTAAAAAACCCATGAAATTTGAAGTTGATACCACTGTATGTAGATGTATATTAGTTTCTGTCTTGGCATCATGACTCTGTGCTCAGAAAAGGCTGTAAGGAGCTTGTATGCAGATTCTTCCCAGGCGCCTGGGAAGTCCAAGAAAAGGAACAGCAGAAACCAGGACTGGTAAGACTGGAATCCAGACAGCCCACAGCACTGAAGATACCGTCATTCCCCTCATTCACTGTGCCAGCTGCAAAATGTGTATTTTAAAAGTAGTATATGACATTTTCTTGAGCACATTCTAGAAGTTCAACTTGGTTCTTCTTTCTCAAACTCAGTTAATTAGTTTTATTGTAAGTCAAACGCACTAGACAGAGGTGACAATTATATCCCAGAATCCTGGAAAAGTAGAAAGTGTGATGTAATACTGCACGCCCTGATGTGCTGTGCGCTGGCCGAGAAGCACACAGGCAGTTACACTACAAATCAGTTATTCGTTTCAGCAACTTTTGGCCATAGGGATACTTTCTGAAGTAAATTAAATAGGATGCAATTCCAGTATAACTACTGCAAGTTCTTTTTAGTATGTTTAAACATCTGGCATCTCTGCAGAGGGGCAGTCTGGATGTTGAAGAAATTCTCTGCCTATTAATGCAGCTGAAATTAGCTTTTATTTATTATTATCAAAACCGCTCCCTAGTGCTAAGTAAGAAATAGTGTAGAAAATCTGTATTTTAAATTCTTAATTAAATTATCTTTTCTCAGTATTTGTCATTACTTACACATTTTGTGCTCATCCTAAATACATGTTTCGTACAGGCATAATCTTTGAGTTACCTTGTCCTTCTGAGTTGCAGTAACTGTTGTCCTTCCAATAAAGATTTTCCACCCTGAGGCGTAGTTCAGCAGCCTGTTAAATTTGATGAAGGCTAGATTAAGAGCAGGCAACTTACTTACCTATTCATAAAGGTATGCTTCATTGGTCCCAGAAAGCCTGGCTTTCCAGTGGTTTTGATTCTTTTGCTCTCATAGGCTATGGATCCATTATTCAGATGTATCCAGGAGGGGGACCTGTTAGAGCTGCTACCAGTTGTTTTGGATTTCCAAAACCTTTTTTCGATAATCTTCATGAATTTCCTCTCAGCAAAGTGGATAGTCTCCTCTCTGGGACATTTTCTACAGAGACTCTGCCTTCAGAACCTGAAGATAACACGCTAGTGGAACAAGAAAGCAATGGATTGGGTGATGAGAAGCAGACTTCCCTACAGGAAACAGAAGAGGAATCTGCTACTGAAGCACCTATGGAGATCAACCAAACAGAAGAGCAAGAAACGATGGACATTAATGCTGAAGATGTAGACTTTAAAGAGAACAAAGAAAAAGAAAAGGAAAATGTAAGAATATTTATTGTGGCTATTCAAGTTTTACAATGTCTATATGCTTGAAATTCTGCTGGCTGAATTAGACATGCTGACATACATCTCCTTCAGGTGTTAGAGTGGAACTGTGGAAGTGGTCTTTTGTCTTACATTAAGCCAGCTAAGATGCAAAAATGAAAATTCAGTCCGTGCAATAAGGATCCATATAGAATTACCAGTTAAAGTGCAAATTATTTGTTTTGTTGTTCAAAGGTTCGGGAAAAGCAAAGAAAACAATGGGAGAGAAGGAAAAAGCTAATAGAAACTGCTGCTTTGTTGAGAGAGAAGAATGCTGATGGGTGAGTTTGTAGTCTGAAAGGTCTTCTGTTTGAAAACGCATCTACAGAAAATTATTTCCTTTGAAACAAATAAAAGCTTTGTTTTAAAAATGCCCTTTTCTTATATTTTTTTAATAATTACAGGCAAGCAGTCAACCCAGGTGTGTCTTGGGTCATGTTTGGTTCTTACCTGGTTGAGATTTTTTGTTATTTAAATGGTTGGAAATTTCATGATTTAAAAGTCATCGTTTCCTGACTAGCTATGCATAAACATAACAACAAAAAAAAAATCTATCCAGAGAAACACAATCCAAGTAGAACTTAATCAAAATGACTGCTGCTAAAAATCACACTGTTCTAATTGGCAAAGTAGAACCGGAGGTTTTAAGTTTGTAAAACTGGAACTAATCTTGTTGGTTTGGGCTTCGATTACTTGGTTTGTTTTCAGAAACTCACTTATTTTTTACACAGGAAGAAGCACGTAACTTCATTTTACCTGCTTTAGTCAGGATCGATTGTTCCCAAGGATCAATTTAACATAAAGATTTAGTATCAGAAATTTAAAACAAAGACGGCAAATACATTCCCAGAAATTCAGCCCCACAATAGTGTGAGAGCACTTGGAGGTTGTGACTTTTTCATAATGTTCTTAGCAAATGCTGAAGTGACTTGAATTAATCAAGTAACATTGATTTAGTTAATTTAATAACATTCATATTCATTTCTTCCTCATAAAAATATTGGCTCACTGGGAATAAAGCCGCTCTGCTTGGATATATTTTAACACACATTTACTGGTGATGTTTATATGCTCGTGTATAATTTTTGTTTTTATTATTACAAAATGTTTTAACTCGCCTAGCACATTTGAGTGGTAGAATTAGCCTTTTCTCTGTATATGCAGAGACAGGTCATCCCATGTCCTCTGAAGCAATAAAATGTTCAGGGAGGCTCGTGGAAGCACTGCACATCTGAGTGGCAGCAGCAACGCCACTGGCGATGCCAGGGGATGACCATTAAGCTGCCTGCACAGTGGCCGTGTTTCGTTACGGTTCTACTGCTGTCCCCAGCACCCGTCGTCATAATTAATGTCTGTGCACTGTCTGGCAAAGGGAAAACTAATATTTGACTTCACTTGATTCTTCCTGTAGTGTAAAACAGTCTATTCAGTTGTTGATTGAGTTGAAGGAAGCCTAATGAGTATTGGTCTCTTGTTCGCTTGCTTTCAATCACTTGTATACTTCTCTTGTCCTTTGTGATGCATGAAAGCTGTAACAAATTATATACTTGAAGGGATGAGTGATTTCTTGCTTTAGGAAGTCTTCAGCACCATGGGGGGAAGAGAAGTTTATGGTTGCCTGAAGGCATCGTCCCCGATTGCTCAGTCAGGATCCCCTCTCTTTAGGAATCTTTTATAGCTGACCGGTTGTTTAGGTCAGGAAGCACAGGGTACATACACTGCAAAACCAGGAAAAATTGGCATGGAATAAAGAAGTGCTTCAGATGAACAACTTGGCAGGTGAGAAGCAGCAGGCAGGTGAGATAGGGGTTTGGTTTGGTTTGGTTTGCAAGGGAGAAATGGGGAAAGGGTAAGTAAAAGCCAGTTAACACTGGAGGTGGGGAGAGAGATTAGGACTTACCGTCAGGGTAAAGAAAAACTGGTCGTTACGTAAAGATGGGCACCAAATTTAGGACAGTTACTTCGTGAGGTCCTGAATTTTTACAGTATTTACTACTTAATGTAGAAGATAATTTTAAATAAAATTATGTCTTCTGTGCTGTTATGTGGTAAAACAGTCCTTCTGGTACACCTATTTGTTCAATTCCATTTATGAGAGTTGAATTCTGTCCTAGGTCTTTGAGGGGGTGAAAAAGGAAGACACTCATTAGAGATTCAGTCTTCTTCTAAAGACAACTTTTTCAAGATAGACTATTACACTTTTCTGATACAATGAAAGCAGCCGTGGGTTTATAGACACTCCATGGGTTCAGAATTAGACTGCCCCCCCTCTCTCTACCTTCCTCTGCCCTTCCTCCTCTTCCTTCTTCCCTCTCAGCCGTTACATTAACTGCAACTGGCCAGCCTGCCTGCTGACAGCAATATGTGCTGCCATATGAGAGAACAGAAATGGATTTTTCAGTCTCTCTCATCTCTCACTTACCTTCCTGTTGTCTGGCAGAGCTCCTGGCAGCGTCAGTGCAGCGCTCCAGGCCTGCTGAGCCACGGGCTGGAGTCTTTTTTCCTTGTGGTCCACTTGGTTAATTAGTGAGCGCAAACTTTTTGAAGGTTGGAACTAGGGTTAAATCTGTAGCCTGCAAGGCCATGGCCAGCAAAAAAAACTGAAGTGGAAACAACTGTAAAAGAATTGTCTCATCCCCTTCTTTCCATTGTGTTTAGAAAATTGAACGTCAATTTTTACCTCCCTTTTGTTAAGTAAATTTGATGGTATCTCCAGTGCTGTACATTCCCCTGGAGGACAAATGTTAATTAATTGATGGGTCTTTTCATATAGTAACTGTATGCTAGAGTAGTAGTTTAATTGTAATTAGTCCATTCTTTATGCAGAAGTACAACTTATGAACTTACTGAATCTTAACCATTTCTTGCAGTATACTTTAGCAGTAATTTTTTGGGGGGGGGTTTTTGGATAAAAACTCTACATACCAGTAGAGAATCTTAAACATCCATAAATACGAATTATGAAATGATACTAAAATGAGGATAAAGAATAAAATATGAAGCCGTTAAGTTGGCAAGGTCGTAATTTCTTCTTTTAATATTTTTAGTCATGCCCATTAGATTGTTTTCTCTTTAAATAACAACTTTTTTTATCTAAAACTGTATTTAATGAAGCTTACCCAGTCTAAAGAATCACAACTGAGCTTACATTCTAAGCAACTACTAGCAGTCACAAAATTTAAATTATGTTTAGACAATGGTCTTAGGGCAGAGAAAGCAGCATGCAGATTCTCAGGTCATAAGAATTATTGTGGAGCTCAGCACAGCTGGAATGAGTGCTGCTGCAGAGCGTTTAATATACTGCACTTCAGGGAACAAGGGCTTTATCCTCTTAATTATGCAAGTAGGAAATCCTGATTTGTTTTTATACTTGGGGAGTTGTTAGAGCCATGAAAACAGGCTGATTAGCAACACTTAGACTATAGTTGATTGCTGTGCTAAGTAGGAGAAAATGTCACTTGATTAATAGGTTTTGGAAGGAGAAAAGTAACGTGTGTGAAATTTCTTTTGCAGCTTAATTGTAGCCAGCAAGTTTCATCCCACTCCTTTATTACTTTCTTTACTGGAATTTGTTGCTCCTTCAAGGCCTTTTGTTGTCTACTGCCAGTATAAAGAGGTAAATCCAGTATGTCACCTTAGCTGTTATAGTTCAAGTTTGAGAATGTTCTGCTGTATAACCTACTATTTGCATTTTTTTAAGCCATTATTAGAATGTTACACAAAGCTGAGGGAACGAGGCGGTGTTATTAACCTAAAGCTGTCTGAAACCTGGCTACGAAACTACCAGGTAAGGATTACAGTAAGCGATTGTCAAAACTGCACAAATACTGGGGAGCAAAACAGTCTGAAGGTAGTTTTTTGCACTGACTGAAACTAGGTATAGTGTCATGCATTTGTTTTTACCTGAGAGCAGTGGGGAAATATTCTGAAGAGCTATAATGCTTCATTGCAACATTTTCAAGTGGAAATACATTAATTTTTTTCTTACAAAGCATTTCAGTTAAACATTTGCTGAAATAGTTGTAGCACACTGACAGATTTAATAGTTGTGCTGCTTTAGTGGCTAGCCTAAAGTGAGGGACAACTCAGTGTCATGTAAGAGAGATGTAGCAAGATATTACTAGAGTTTATTCGTTTCCAGTTGGTTTGATAGCTGAAAAAAAAAAAAAAAAAAGGTGATGTTAAGAATGCTGGTGACTTAGAAAGTCAGTGTCTTCAGATAACACGTTTCCTGGAACTAAAGTAACAAGAATTTTCCGGTCTGGGAACTGCCCAATAAAAACAAGATGAGAGGGGAAAACATCTCCACAGTGAAAAACGTCAGTGCAAGTAACTTTGAGCAAGATGTTTGCAAATGTGCAGCACCCTCTCAGCTATGAAGAAGCAGAAGCGTGTCTGATCTCTAAGCAGCTCACCACCTCTGAAGAGGTTCTTGCATTTTACTGACTTTCTCCTTGCCTGTAGGCTTCTGGAGTGCGTAAGGAATTATTATTTAGGGCAGGACTTAATTCAAGGGTGGCCACGACCACTGCCTATTGATCAGGCACCCAAACCGGGAATGATAGGAGATTCATAGATGAAGATGTTCACACAGGTTGGGCTTGGTGCAGGTCACTGTGTCCAGGTGCAGTTAGGACCAGTACTGCCACATCTCCTGGGTGCAGGAAAATTAACTTAGAGCCATGGTGGCAGTCCTAGCAAGGAGGAAGTGTAACTGAAGAGAAAGCATTTACAGAAAAGTATGTCGTAGCTGAAAGTGATGGTGCATTGCTGCATCTTACCTTAGGGTAGCTCCATAAAGATTACAGTGACAAAAGTGGAAATTACTGTATTACTCCTCACTGTTTTGTTAGACCAACGGTGGTTTCTTGCAGAGCACACCAGTTCTGAACACATTAATGAGGCTTTCATGCATCCCAAACCTTGACTTCATAATTTTGCTGGAAATGCCATGAAGAGCTAATCAATAGGGCAGTAGCCTATATTCTTACATATCTCTATAACCAGTTTCTGGTATGCAGATACTTTGCCCTTTAAAGATAAATACACTTTCCAAATGTCTGTTTGTTGTGGTGGCTGGAAAAAAAAAAAAAAATTACATCTTATACTGTAAGTTTAAATTACACAATTTGATGCGCACGTAGCGAGTGAGTTTTTACAGACACTTAGAGTTTGGTTTGGTTTGTTTTGGGTTTTGATTTTTTAAAAGGTCTTACCGGATCGAAGCCATCCAAAGCTGACGATGAGTGGAGGTGGAGGGTACCTTCTATCTGGTACAACTGTTGTCTTGGATAAGGGCAAATCTGATTCCAGTAATTTAGAAGCGCTGAAGATGGAAGAGCCGTCAACTAAAAGATGCAAAGTTCAAGACCTTCCTTGTTAACATTTGAAGAATTGCTTTGATTTTTAGATCTCAGGAGTCTTACTGTTAGTAAAACAACAAGTATACTTTCTGTGCTCTTGACAGCACAGAAATTGTACCTGTCACACACCTGTCAGCAAAAAGCAGCAGAACTGTGTGGTAGGAAGGATTGTCTCACTCTGAACCAGTTTCCATGATCAGAATAAGAAAAACCCTTGGAAGCAAAAATCCCCCTGAAAACGCACTGACTTCAGAAAGAAGAGGAAGCATCATTCTGATTGCTTGTTGCCAGAAGTGGATATGACGAAGGCATCTTTTTAAAGGTCGAGCCCAAATCAAGACATCTAACTTAGCTTCCCGTTCTCTCAGAGCAGCATCAGGGTGAAACATCCTACGTGGTGATCTGCTCCTTATTTGGACACCGAACCCAGCCACGTTTAGTAACGTGAGGAAGTGGAATGAACTGCAAAAATGCTACACTTTTCTTTCCAGAAGAACAATAGAGAATACTAATACCAGAACTTTACAGCATGACCCATGTTTTCCTGAAATCCAGAAGAGAAAGTGCATGTTCATAAATTAAAATACCAAATATTTAAACAGAATGTCTCTATTAGTATTGTCTGTCATTTTCCTGAGACTTGTTACATGTTTTTATTTTAAGATACGACTATTTTGAAAACTGCTACATGTATATATATTTATTCTACTATTTCTCTTTCATGATGTGTAGCTTTTTTATTTTTTTAAATTTTGCATTTGCCATTTCGATTAAACTGCAGGATGTTTTTCCTAATGAGATTTATTCTTCTTACTTTTCCCTCTTTTTGGAAATAAAAAGTTCTAGCAGGGGCTTTAGGAGGAGAACACCCTTGCTGGCTGCACCCCGTGGAACCCACCGTGGGGAGCTTTAGGCCCAGATGGGAGCCCGTAGAGCCAGCAGGACTTGGCTTCTGTTCTTGAACTTGCTCATCAGGGGGAATCTGGAGCTTTGGGATCAAGTAATCAGACTTCATAAAGCTGTAAAATTCTGTATACTGATAAGAGTAATGCTCTTTTAGGAAACCATTAGCTCAGAACAAAACGGGGGCTCTATTTTGTTGAAAGAAGCAGCAGAAGATTTGAACATTTCTTTTAGTGAACAGATACACTATACCTTCAGGTTTTTGTCTACCTCTGTTCCAGTTTTTTCTAAACTTCCCATGTTGGGGTTGGGTGGGGTTTTTTTTTCTATTTTTATGGAAAGCTTTTCTTTTCTTCTCCTCGTTATATGAAAAACTCCTAAATGGAGAGATTGTAGGTTTCACAGTCTCTATTCCCCCAGTTAAGTGGATCTGAAAAATATGCTTTGCCCTCCTTGCCTTTCCATACAGGGTAAGTGTTGCAAATCACACATATAGGGAATAGAAAGGCCATGTGTGGTTTATACAAAGTTACTATTTTTTCTTATAATTCTGGGTTTCTCAGCTTCTTTCAAGAACTCACAGGGAAAAGGTGCGAAGGGAAGATGGGGTTTCCATTACTATATGCCTGCACCTGGATACTGAAGGTAAACTAGGATAAACTGGGACTTTGAAAGCAGCCAACACCCAGTACGTGATGAAATTCTGAGATAGCCTGGCTTAGAGCAATGGGTAGGAAGCTAGTGCAAGGCAAGAAAATTACAAAAATCGGTGTAAACCACGAGATCAATACTGAAAAACTGCCTTTTGCCTCGGTTTTCTTACCTGGAAAGCAGGCATAGGTGCGGCTCTGCCACTGCCATGGAGCTGGGAGGTACACGGCTCTCGTGCACTGCAAAGGTGTAAAAATTTACACAGTAAAAGTTTGGTTAAACAACCAACGTATGTATTGAATCCTGCTTTTTATTATATTTAATGTGCTAAAAGTAGTAACCTGAAAAAAAAATCTGGTTTATTTGTATACTAAAAAAAAAACAGCTGTGAGAAATAAACAGTATCAGAACACCTGAAAAACTACTTTAGATCAAAGCCAAACTGGCTTCATTTCAGCAGCATTAATGCTCTCGGCGCTGAATCCTCTCCCCCCGTTTTGAAATGTGCCGTAACGCTTGCACCAATGGGAGATAGGAAGAAACCAACAAAAAATTCATGGAAAATATTTACAATTATTGATGTTTCAATTTAGTCTCCACAAAGCGTAGCTCAGGAGCCTGGTCATCACCGGAGCCTCAAGGCAGAAGGGCCAAGGGCTTTTATCTCTGCAAATATAAAACACGACAACTTGGTATTGTGTAATTTTGGTCAACGCTGTGGAGAAAAGGAACTTGGCTCGGGTGGGCGGTGTGAGGAGCCAGCCCCCGGCACGCAGGCGCCCGACCGGCGCTGCGCCACCGTCTCTGCTGTGGTTCCAGGCACCAGAGCCCAACTCTGGCTGCCTTCACATCGTTTCTGGCAACAAAAAAAATTAAAAAAAAAATGCGTGCGCTCCGTGTCTCCTGAAGTTCTCATCCAAGCTTGAGCTCTCTGCCCAAGGAGGGGGATGGAGGAGGTGCCAAGTGCTTCTCGCCCCTCAGAGGAGCTTCAGCCCTTCCTCCGGCAGCGCCCGATCTCTCAACTGCTGGAGCCTCCACGGCCGAAACCGCCTGCGGCCGTCCGGCAGGGCCGGGGCCAGCGGAGACATGGCAGCGCCCGAGGAGACTCCGTACCTCGCTTCGGTCACAGAGAGAACATCCACCTGCCTTCACTCCGTAAGCAGGATAAAAATAGCAGAGAAGAAGAAAGAACTAGTTGCCAAGCTTTCCGTTCCTGTCTTTTAGTAAAGTCTTTTAGCTTTACTAAAAAGATTTTACCATTGCGCTGGGGTGCACGAGTCAGAAGCAAGACAAGGCTTTTTCAGAAGCCAAAACCCCAATTTCTGCTTCATTTGATTGCTTGGAACAAGGTTACGCATCGTCACATACCAATAGTCGGTGTAAGCCGTACCACCTAGCTTCAATGCCAGAAGCATGCAATTTGCCTTTAACTAATGCAAATTAATGTAAATTGTAGTGGAGGGCTGATTTAAAAAAAAAAAAAAAAATTCTTGGAACAGACGTAATGCAAATGTGTAGCTAAAAATGGCAGAGGCAGGAGCAGTCAAAACAGCAGCTCGGCGCTCGGTGCTCGTGGCGTCAGCCCCGCAGAGCCGCGCGCAGGAGGGCGGCAGCCGAAAGGGCTGTCACAAAGCTCTGGGAAGCTGCTGAATGCTATTTGATTTTTTAAAGTCTTTCAGGGGACAGGGTTTTAAGCAAAGCATTGCTGATTCGTGACTGTGTGTTTGCATAAGTGTAGCTTTAAAAAACAACAACAAAAAATATATATACTATTACTTGATTTGCATTTTTGAGCAATTTAGGAAGTTTCCTGTGCTGCAACTAAAGCTTTTTGCTTCTAGGTATTTACAGACTCACAGATGGGCTTTCCCTCACGCAGGCTGGGGGAAGAACGTACTGTGCTGCAATACTTCTTGTATGGCATTGTAAATTTTAAAAGGGAGAGTCTCAGAATTTGAAGGCAGCAAAGTATTTCTGCAGCTGGGACACTCTCACTTTCCTCACTGTTGCTGGAGAAGCCTGGCGAAACCATGGTCCTACTGAAGTAAAAATTCTGTCAACTTCTTTGAGCCAGGATTCGACCTTCGCGTACCTGAACTGAACAAGATGAAACATTTGAGAGGTTCTCCCGACAGCCCGAGCCCCAGACGTGCTCACACAGTGCGGGGATCAGTAGCGCACCGAATATTTTACTGCCTTAACTGGAGAGTACGTCTGTGGATTAAATGGGTTCGGCTGAGATGACAGATGCTGCACATTTACTGGTAACGTGCTTCAGCTGAATTTTGTACAGCGCCTCTTTGCGTGGTGTTGACACGAGTAACCGAAGACACTGTCACAGCAGTAAAACAGTCTGTAAAAACCACGTTTGGCTCAGTTCAGTTCAACTGAACCCCAGATACCGGCAGTAGTTGAAACCAATGACAGGAGCATTCCTTTCACTGCTTCGTAGTGTGGTAAAATTACCCAGGGGCTCCTCCCACACACCGCTGACGTAGGGCATCGTACGGTTTGTGACCCGGAGCCCGTCCTGCCCCGCGCCCGCCGAGAAACTCCTCGTGCAAGGTGAGCAGCACGCCGGTGCGGCGCAGGCTCCGCAGCGGCGCTCACCACCGCCTGCCCGCCTGCAGTAAGCACAAAACACCTTAGCAAGGAACGGCCGCTCGGCGATTAAATTCAATGGGACTGAGACTTACTCAGACTAAATTAATTGGCAAAACCAATCCACCGCGTAACGCACTGCTTCTGAAGCGCCGCGTGGTTTCCAAATGAAGCGTCCATTCGGTGTTGCAAGCTCTTTGCTTCTTTAAGGACTCGTTTCCAGAACTAAATCATTCACAGGGTGTTTCTGGGTTACCGGAGCAAACTAACTGGCATTCCTTCTTACCAGCCAGGCTCCTGCTAACTGCCAAATCAAAGGCACAGATAGGCTCCTCGTAACTTAAAAAATACCGATGAACCGCAGGTGAACATTTTGTCCACAGTCCATCCACCTGATACAGCTTACTTGGCAATAAGCCAGTCACTCAGATAAGCAAGGAGAAAGTTTGGTCCAAGATCAACGGTTTTTATTATTTCAAACTCAGGCAAATGTATTTCTGAAGAACACAAACACAATTATTTTCACAAGCATATTAAAAATATCTGCCTTGCGTGAAAGGTTATAATACCAAAATTCATGCTATTCAGATCCCAATAGCATAACAGCAAATTAAAGACATCTTCAGCTGTCTAGATCACTACACTATAGTGGACAGTAAGTAGAATTTCCTGTTTTTCGGGCAAACAACAATCCAGTGGCAGTGAATTTACCACAAAATACAGGCATTGGGAGTACGGCTACACCTAGCTTTGAAACGCCAAAGCAGATCAACTTCAGCCTCTCCTGTTGTCATTAAACTTCTCAGCTATTTTCTGCAACTCCAAATCCATAGCAGCCAGGTTTTCCAGTTCTTTTTCCTGCGAAAACATAAAGAGCATTTTACACATCAAATAAGGTTGGCAAATGTTTTGTTCCATGAAAATGAGAGGCAAAGACCGCTCCTGAGGCAGAGGTCTCCTGCTACTGACTGGTCCCTGGGCGGATTGCTGGGGGCAGGAGCACACACTTTGGAGATTTGTACAATTTCCTGCTTTCAACCCAATTAGGGCTGGGGAAAGTAAATGCTGCGAGCGGGCCCTAATTACAGTTTGGTCTTTTTTAGCTTCAAAGCACCGTTAGGTAGCAGTGACCTCCCGCTGCCGCGCGCAGTCACTTCTGCCCAAGGTGAAGGAGACCCTGAGAGGCTACAACCCTACGATCACAGCGGTCCTGGCTCACAACACACAGCGAGCAGTGTGCAGCGAGAACACCACCTCCACCTTAGCAGATGCTGGAGGAGGGGGGAAAAAAAGTTATGCAGCCAATTCTTGTTTATTATGATGACTTCCTAACGGCGTTTAACCTCTCTATAAATTAGCATTAAGCCTCCGCTGCTCCCAGCCCAGCTCGGTGCAACAGCTACAGTGACATACGTAAGGAGCAACCAGCTGCCTCGTCCAGACTCCGTT